GAGGGGAGGGGAGGGGAGGGGGGATAGTAGAGAATAGGACAGACATCAGAATACATCAGACACTAGAAAGGCAATATGTCAATCAATGGAAGGGTAACTGATGTGATACAGCAATCTGTATACGGGGTAATATTGGGAGTTCATAACCCACTTGAATCAAACTGTGAAATATTATGTATTAAGAACTATGTAATGTTTTGAACGACCAACAATAAAAAAAAATTTAAAATTAAAAAAAAAAAAGAATATATAMGCATTGCCCATCAGAACACCTGATTGAGAAGCTACATTTTTAACAGGCATTTTAGAAGGATCTTTTGAACAATAAATGTTGGGGCCTACTGACATAAATTATTTGTGAGGTTCCTTTCCTATTCTAAAAATACTAGATTTAGTTTGTTAATTGAGGTTTAATCTAAAGTAGATTATACAGTGTATTAGATTTGTAGTTGGTATATAAAATATAATGCGTAAATAAATTAATAGATTCAGTGTTTTGATGATTGACAAACATGTCCATTATCATTTTATTATCGTTTTAGAAGCATTATTCCTGACATACATTCAGACATGACAACAGCACTTTGACAAAAGGAAGGAGGCAAGAAAATGTAAACAAAAAAGAATGGCAATAAACCTGTGGATACAATGCACACTGGTCTGTTAAATAATCACAACAGGTACATAGGTAAATCTTTTTGTATCTAATAAGTAAGTAACCCCAGCAATAGGCAATGAAGTTAAGCTTCCCCAAATCCTACAGCTTGAAAACACACATGGGAGAACAAAGACTTGGAGGCATTAGTGTAAATGTGAGTATCTGTCTACTATATGCCATCTACAAACACACTGTAATTGCTTTTCAATAATCATTAACATTTAAGAGTCTAAACTGTATAACCTCAGAGTTTTGGTTCTTCTGTTACATAAAGACTACTCAGAAAGCCCATCGTTACCCATGCAACCATGAACTGCAGGCTTAACAGAGGGTCACAAGCATGATGAGTTAATCACTGGAAACAGGGGTATCCCATTAAAAATAGGTAAGTTTTCTTGTTAAAATTAAAAATTTAATAGCAAATAGCAACAAAAGAAAAAGGCTAAGCAGTCATCTCATTGATTATTAAGTTTTCTCATGTTCAAAGTTCTATGATACCGATCATTCTACGTTTCTATTTGTCTTACAAGTAACTCCAGATCATTTTAGCTATATAAAGAAAAGATAAATTTCCATTGGCTTAAAGACAAGAAAATAAATTGTCTGCTTTCAGAAGTTATCACCAATTTTATATTATTTATAGGGAAATTGAGTGTAGCCCAAGTACTATAAAGTACTCTCTGTGTGGCCATGACTTACACAGCAGACCACAACTGAAATCTGAACAAGATGCTAAATGTGCTTATCTCTATGCACCTTATCCTGTGATTCAGGTCCTTCTCTTTCTAAAATGAGCTCAATTAACAAGCTACTCCACAGGATGAAATTAATTACTGAAGAATTTATACTTATAACTACAAAGACATACAAACAAATGGAACACACAGATTGATAGACATGTTAATAAATTAGTAGACTGACTGAACAATTATAATAAATTTGTGGACACTATTAGTTCCCTTTCTTCTTTTACCCCTTAAGAAATTCAGTTAATAATTCCACTTAAACTATAAAATGTTTGTGATTATTAAAAAGCAATTTCATTGTGTTTGCAGTTGACATGCAATAGGCAAATATAGATGTTTGAAACTGCTACCTCCAGTTCTAGAAGGCTGAATTCAAAATTACATTTTAAAATCTTATATAGCGGTCACCTTCCTTTACCTGTTATTTAAAACAAATCGGTATAAAACACACAGAGATGTACAGAAACAACATATGTTATTTGTGGTAGTATGGGTTCCTCTTATGTCCTTATGTGTGTGTGTGTGTGTGTGTGTGTGTGTGTGTGTGTGTATGTGTGTGTTTCCAAGGTCTAAACCCGGGGCTTTGTGCATGCTAAACAAGTGCTATACCACTGAACCACATCCCCATCCAACATTTGACCATTTGATCCAACAATCTTAATCATTGGATTTACTACAAAGGAGTCACTGAAAATTAGAAATAAAAGTAAAAAAAAAAATAATTGTGGTAATATTAAGAAAAAATCTTAAATATAACTGTATATATAAGTAAAATAATAGATTACTATTAAAACAATAAGTATGTCTTGTAAATTTAGTGATGTTTCATAGATAAGAAAACAAAGACAGCAAAGAGTGTACTGAGTGGTTAAAAACTGAGAACACAAAAGGAACTACTTACCGCAAATGCTGTCACTTTCATCTAATCCATCCCCACAATCATCCTCTCCATCACAAATCCAGTGTTTAGAAATGCATTTTTGTGCAGAACAAGCAAACTGGTTCCAAGAGCAGGAAGAATCTAGAAAACAAAAAAAGCAGCTTACTTTAGGTGGAACAGCTAGGGGACATAAGCTCTGGTGTACTAGTGGACAGTAGGTACATATAAGGATAATGAACTATATATTTTTAAAAAGCTAAATGAAATAAGTATGAATGTCTTCACCATCAAGAAATGAATTTGCTTAAAGAAATATATGCCTATTCTCTTTGAACATTATAACAATGTGTACATATATCAAAATATCACCTGGTGCCCAATAAATATGTATAAGTATTATGGGTCAACTGTAAAGAAGGAAAAAAAAATGGCTAAGATTATCTTAGAACAGATTTCACAATGAGAAAGCTCTTTCTTAGACTTTTCTAAAATCAGCCCTTAAACAAGCCAAATTCCTCTTCCCTGTGACAACTCTACATAAAATTTTGACAACGGCTTGCATATTCCCTCTGTTTCCAAGTTACACACCATGTTCCTTCAACACGGTTCTCATAGGACTTGCCTTTGAACTTTTCACTGGGCTGACTATTCACCTTTAACTATATTCCAGACTGTCATTCTCTAAAAATGTGTGGGATGCAGTCATAAAATATATATTCCATGTTCATTTAGTAATCCTTTTTAACTTTAATCTATTTTTAAACTAACAAAGAAAAATAATACATGTTAAACAAGGCAACAATGGGGTGGACAGACCAAATATGTTTGTTTTAAAAGTGAGCTAAGGAGGTTTTAGTTTGAAAACAAATCAAAAGTTTTATGCTTATATGTACTTAACACATTGAAGTTTATATATCACTTCCTTAAAAAGACCCAAACTCATAGGAATAGTGAATTTTTTCGTACAGGATTTTTACAATAATAAGATACTACATTTTTTTCCCAATATCAGTTCTTATTGCTTTTGTTTACCCCCACAGTCCCCCTCCACCCATCATATTTATCACCAGGGATCATTCAAAATAAAGTCCTCTCAAATTACATTGTTTAAAATGCAAACTATTGTCAAAATAACAATATTGGGTTTAGTCTGAAAGAATATTTAACAATTGCATTTTCACTGAAATGTTTAATCAGATGATATATAAAAAGTGAAAAATTTAGAAAACTAAAGCCTGGGAAACAAAATTAAAGAAGAAACAATCATATAATGGTTCCCTATTGAGGATTACAAATCCACAGAAACTATTTTTGAAGTTCTCTGTTAGATTTATTCAGAATCTGGCTCTAACGTAAAGATATATAAGATCTTCACCAAACGAAATGTATTTCCTCATTTCACAATGACATTTACTTTCAGAGGAGCTTGACATTTCATGGAAGATCCATTTTAAATCTTTTTTTCTACCCTGTCTACTCATCACAGTGTATATCATTTGTGTTAAAAGTGAATATATGCTTTTTCCTATTGAACATTTCCTTGGCCTGAAAAAAAACACAAAATCCATAAATTTTATAAAATATAATTTAAAAGGCTCTTTTATCTTGACAATGTGAAATAAAGTATACACACAGAGAAATTAGGAGGTAGAAGGTAAGGATAAATGTTTGAGTAAATAGAAACTTAAGGATATTATTTCAAGTTATCTGCAGAATTTCAAATAATAATAATTTCCAATGCCAGATAGGAGTATCATGCATAGTGTAGGTCAAATCCTTATTTTTTCATAGTACAAAGTACATATATTAATCCCACCTGAAGTCAATATATCAGGAAAAGAAGATGTACATATATTATTTAGATTGGCAGAGGAAGCAATTCAACAGAAAGTTTTTAAAAAATATTCCAAAGGGAGAATTTTACTTATTATAATTTCCTCATTTTACTTTAATTTTTATCATTTTGGTTTTATTTAACAAAAGTGAAAATTGACATCAAAGTCTGTTAAAATATTTTGTGTTAAATCCCTATGCAAGAGAACATCAACATGTAAATCATAATACAATTCATCAAGTAAAGCAAGTCTTAAATCCTCACCACAGTGGAATTCATCAAGCCCTTCCTCACAGTCTTTCTGACCATCGCATATCCAGGTATTCAAAATGCATCTTCCACTAGGACAGCCAAAATAATTTTCTTCACATTTGTGTTTGTTTTGAACTGTGACAAAATATAGAATTTAATGTTAATTTAAATTAATTTTAAATTTCTTCAATATATGTAGATAAAACATTAATACTTCTAGAACTGGAAAAGATAAATTTGAAGCAAATGGACAAAGAATACCTGTGATGTTTTCCTGGAGAATGCCAGGGTTCTGAAAACCAKAGGACTAAGAAACTATCACAGACCAGAGGAGACTGGGAGTACATACTAATAACATCCATTTCAGGACTGGGTCCTGAAACAAAGAGTTTAACCACAGAAAAACTGCTTAAATTAAGTAGTATAGAGATTAGATGATGGAGTTAAAAAGGAAAAAAGAGCCAGGTGCAGTGGTGCATCCCTGATATCCCAGAGACTTGGGAGGCTGAGGCAGGAGGACCATGAGTTCAAAGGCAGCCTCTGCAAAAGACAGCCTCTGCAAAAGACAGCCTCTGCAAAAGATAGCCTATACAAAAGTGGGGTGCTAAGCAACTCAGTGGGACCCTGACTCTAAATAAAATACAAAATAGGGCTGGGGATGTAGAGTGCCCTGAGTTCAATCCCAAGTCGCCCTCTAAAAATAAACAAACAAACAAAAAAACCAGCTGATATGACTCTCGAGTAAATGAGTCTAAAACCAAAGAATCATATTTTCATGGAAAATATTCTTAATTTCCTATGAAGAATAAACATAAACAACAAAATTAAAACATTGGTAGATCTTAGATCTTTGCTGAATGAATATGGACTTAGTGTTTCTACTGCCTGCTATTTTGAATCTGCTTTGATAGAAATTAAGCAAATATTCCCTATTTTAAGAGTAAAACATGTTAAAGCAGAATCTCTTTTAAGATTATTATAGGGTTGGGAGTATAGCTAAAAGACAGTGCATGCTTAGCAAGTCTTCAAACTCAGTACCAAAAATAAATAAATAAACATGACATTTATGATACTATGAAAAATGTTACAAGAATAAAAATTCTGTACATAAAATTAATCTGTAAATTGTAATTTATAAAACTTACAAAGTTGTTTTTACTACTGCTTCCAAAAGAGCATATAAAATACTGGATTTTTCTCTGTACTTGATGTCATCTCTTCTCTCATATCTTCAGATTTCCATAGCCTGGCCCACACCCACAGCCCATCAGGAAGCCAACCTTAGAGTATACGTGCCAATCACACTATGATATCCCATAATGAATGTTTTAAGATAAAAAGTCTCCCTATGATATATTTTGAAAAGGAGAAAAATTCATTTTTTAGTAAATTTATCATGAAATCAAAAGATCTTGAGAGTTCTTAACAATAACTTAGGTTTTTTAGGAAGCTTCCTAGATATCATTCAAACTATTTTTTTTTTTCAGTACCAGGGATTGAACTCAGGGGCACTGGACCATTGAGACCCATCCCCAGCACTATTTTGTATTTTATTTAGAGACAGGGTCTCACTGAGTTCCTTAGAGCCTTTTTTTTGCTGAGGCTGACAGGCCTGTGCCACTGTGCCCGCCATCCAAACTGTCTTGACTGACCTATTTCTGGCTTCCTGCCTGTGCCCACCTGTCTCATAAAGCAGCATGAGTGTCCCTTTCTTTCTTACCCAATGTAAAAATCACAATTGTTTATAAGTGCTGAAAGCTTACTCTATTATTTGTTAATCCTAGAAAGAGATAAAGGATATGAAAAAGAAAATGAAATGTCAGTTTAACAAATTTCTATTATATGGTGCTTTAAGGATAATTTCAAAAATTAACTATTGTTAGGCTTGGTGGTTCACACCTGTAATCTTAGCAGCTCAGGAGACTGAGGCAGGAGGAYTGGGAGTTTAAAGAGAGCCTCAGCAAAAGCCAGGTGCTAAGCAACTCAGTGAAGCCTTGTCTCTAAATAAAATGCAAAATATAGCTGGGGATATTGCTCAGTGGTTAAGTGCTCCTGAGTTCAATCTCCTATACCAAAAAAAAAAAAAAAAAAGAAGAAGAAGAAAAGAAAAGAAAAGAAAGGAAAATTAATTACAGCCCTAGTAAAGAAAATGCATTATGCCAGGCACAGTGGTGCATGCCTGTAATTTTAGCAATTCAATAGGCTCAGACCAGAGACTCATAAGTTTGAGACCAGCTTCAGCAACTTAGCAAGACCCTATCTTGAAAATAAAAAATAAAATTTGAGAAGTAGCTCAGTAGTAGAGTGCCCCTAAATTCAATATTCAATCCCCAGTATCAAACAAAAAGGAAAATGTATTATTATGAAAAGCACATTAGATTAATAATCATGACACACAGGATCCATGATTCCAAAGTAATAAAATTCTATATTTAAAAAGTATTTGCATGATTAAAAACAAGATTTTTTTTTAATGTGGAAGAATTGTCACGAGCTACAGTCAGTGCCACCAAAGAATTTTTTCCCACTTTCTCTAAAGATGCAATTAACAATTTTTAAACCAAAATGCCTGAAACAAAGGTATCAGAGAATAAGTCATAAACTATCATAAGTATCAGTTTTTCCTAGTAGTTTATATTTACCTGTTTACATAAATACAAACTGGCATGCAAAATTCTCATAAATATAATTTCTTAAAATATTTWAAAAAATTATATACCAACTAAATATGGAAAAGTGACTCTTGGCAGGGTAGGCAAAGGCTATCAGTAGTTTGAGTCCAAATTCAAAAGTGCCAGTTCTATGCAATGAACACCTTTCTCTTCTGAATCTTTTTAAAATCTCAGTACCCTCAAATAGATCACTCAAGTCATTTTCATAGAAGGCCTTCTTCTAAGAAGTCAGAAAATACTTTTCAGAACTAATATAGGTAAAGATGGTTCATAGGCAGATACAAAATATYACTGCCTGATCTTGATCCAAAAATGATAACTATTACCTGAACTATGATGCCAAAAATTATGTAAACTGTATCAACAGTCTCACACATGCTATATAACATGAGTAAAGTCAGTAGTGAGAAACAGTATCCCTCTTGTTAGTCTATCAATAGTTAAGTCAAGGTTTATAACATTTTTGCTGATGCTTTATAGATTATACATCTTAAATATGTAATCTCCAGGGGCTAGGGTTGTGGCTCAGCCGTCGTGTGAGGCCCTGGGTTCGATCCTCAGCACCACGTAAAAATAAATTGATAAAAAATAGGTATTGTGTCCAACTACCCAAAAAAATTTTAAAAGAAATTTTTTWAAAAAATAGATGAAATCACCAATTTTAAAAGGAATAATGAGGAAGGAAACATCAAAAAACGATGTAAGGAGAGATCTTAGGACAGATTTCTTGAATTTTATATTATAATTCATTTAAAGAGATCAAATAGCATACTTAGAATAGAATATGTTTTAGTCTATATTATTTAAATTTTATTCTCAATGATTAAATCTTTTCTTTAAACATTTGTGTTTTAGTTATAGGTAGACATAATACCATTATTTTATTTTTATGTGGTGCTGAGGTTTGAACCTGGTGTCCACKCATGGAAGGCAAGTGCTCTACCTCTGAGCCACAACCCCAGCCTCAATGATTAAATCATTAGAAGAAATTTATTCTATTCAATTAGGTATTCTTCAATCATCAAGGCAAAGATTTTACTTCCTAGAATTACCTGGACACTTTAATTCATCCGAATAGTCTCCACAGTCATTAGACCCATCGCATATCCAAGTTGGCAGAACACACAGTGAGGTAGAATTACATCTTATGAACCCTGTGGTTTTCACTCCAAGTTTATAGAAATGTGTGCAGTCTGTATTATCTAGAAAGATGTAAACAAAAAACCGAAACATCTCATTTGCAAAGATTATAAGCCTTCTATGTAGGTCAGAGAATGCAAGAAAAGTGAACTTCATTTGAGGAAATAAATATGCAATTATCTCACACAACAGGGGTTAATTATATATCAATTCTGGATGAGGCTCAGTAAAAAATTGGATAGTATTCAACTCAATGCCAAAGGTGTCCAGGCAAGAACAAACAAAAGGTAATGGAATATCTTACTGCAGTTCTTTTCATCTGAAGCATCTGCGCAATCTATGTTCTGGTTGCATCGTGCTGATCTTGGAATGCAAGTCCCATCTGCACAGCGGAACTCGACAGTGGCACAGGTTGAAACTAGAAAAACATGTAAATAAATAAATGGATAGATGAGACACAAAAATGACTCCTTGTTTTTATATTTGAAGTATTTTAATTAAGCCATATTATTTTATTTATTTTTKCTTTTTAAACTCCAGGCAATCAAATTTGACCTCCAGCTCTACAGCAATGCTGGGTTAGATGAATCTTATAGCTTCTCTTGTCACACAATTTTTACATCTTTTCCTGTCAATTATTCCCTTTGTTGTGGTGTTTATCAAACTGAATTGCAACCACTATTCATGTACCAGAAGCCCCAATAAATTTTTAAGTTCCATGAAGGAAAGTAATGTGCCTTGCTTACACAGTTGTACTTGTCTCTCACTGAGATGGCATAAAAACAATGAAGGTTGCTGAAAAGTATTCTCCTATAGTCAGCAGTACAAGGTTATGACACTAAGAAAAGGCTTAATTAGTGCTTCATGGAAAATACCAATCTAGTTTCTAAGAAGAAGTGGTGCATCCCCTTCTATGATAGAAGCAGAGACAGAGATAGAAGCAGAGACAGAGATGGAATCAGAGGCAGAGGCAGAGACAGAGACAGACAGATACCGAGGAGACCGCTGACGATCTATTCTATGTCATACTCTTGTATAAAACTATCATTAACATTTGATAGAGGCACTATGGTTGACTCATGCCAAGGTACACAAAAAATATAGCATTTCTTAATCYGATAGTTTTTAAAGAATAGCTTTCCAGCTCTTTGCTATGCTTAAGTGAAAATCAGTTTCAGTATGCTTCTCTCATTGTATACACCTTGTACATAATGCCTTGTTCTCCATCATATACTCCTTTCTAGTTTGCTTACCCATTCATTACCATATAATACTTTCCAGCAATATGTTGTGAACAGGTGCATGGCATAGTATGTATGCTAGATTAACATAGTGGAAATTTTTACTCCAAATTCAAATTTCCATAGGTTGATTACATTAATGTACAACCTGAAGGGCTCTTTGATTATTCCATTTTTACAGTGTTGATAGTTTAAAGAGCCTATTTAATTATAAATAGAAATTATATCAATTGTAAATGGTTAAAATGTACCTTAAAATATGCAAATTTTACTCAAGGGTGTGTATGTCATTTGTATTTCATAAAGCACTGCTCTTATTATATTTAATTGTATCTTGAAATTGCATATTTATTTGTGTTTAAATGATGATTAGAATAAATGTTTTATTTACAATTTGCAATTATAATTGCTTCACTGTTTTCTTCATTATAAATAACATCTTAGCTTGTAAAACAGATAATGCCATTATGAGTAGAGATAAATGTATTGTTCCAAAACAGGAACACAATTAGTTTTTTTTTTTAATTTTATATCTTAAAAAGCAAAATCTAATTGATGATTCCTTTCTATTACATTTCATTTTTAGTATTTTTTTGCTAATGGAAATAGTAAATGTAATATATAACACAGAAGATAATCAAGTCAATCATTTACATTTTGTCTTTGACTTCAATATATATCAGCAGTTTTTTAATAACTATGTTCCAAATGATTTCATATAATCTCTTTGTTTAGAAGACAGAATGCATTTCTCTGTGAAACGTTTTAGATATTYGAATATTTCTAGGCAAGCCTATAAATATTTTCTATCTTATAACTTACTTGAAGTTAGAGTTTAGATGCTTTTAGAAAGTGCCAGGAGGGGACAATTTTACCACCATCAGACTGTCTTCTAAGTTTGCTCAGAGAATCCTATTCAGGGATTCTATCGGAATGAGAAAAGGGTGGCTAAGAAGGTAAAGAGGCAAATCATGTCTTCATGAATGTGGGGGATGGCATTTCAAAGAGTTGACAACTGGAAGCACAGTAGAGATACATCCTTGTAACCCTACCTACTCCAGAGACTAAGGCAGGAGGATCACAAGTTGAGGCCAACTTGGACAACTCACTGAGATCTTGTTTCAGCAAGAAAAGAAAAAGCTGGGGTGGAGCAAGAGAGCTTCAGATGTAGTTCACTGGTAGAG